CGAAAAAGAAACGAGAGTAGTAATTTGTAGAAAATTGAAAGACGAATCCGAAAATATCTTGGTTGTTACCGTAAAGCAGTGGCGTACTATTTTATTTAGAAAAATAAGCCCTCAGATTTTGGAAAATGTTTAGGTAAATACATGTGCCCAGTTTCAAATTATTTCACTTACTAGTTTTTAAATTATATAAAAATATTAAAAATATTTTTTGAAGTTTAACACCCTGTATCTTTTTAACGAAGCGTCTTCTTAAATAACAACTTTATAGGAAAAACTCCCCTTAAAATTCACCAAAAAATACAAGGTTTCACTTTTAAGCCACCATTTACGAAACACCCTGTATAACAAGAGAAATTAGAAAGTATTGAATTTGAATACTATGTCTATTAGTGTGACATAATTTACGGGTAGAACTGGAAATAAGATTATGTTTTATTATTTTTCACGGTTGTAAAGCTAAAACCACTTTTGAGTGTACACACTGCAGAACTTGAAGATGAACGAACAGCCAAAAAGAACCAACCACATTCGGTTGACACTTGCAATATTGGCTCGTAAGAAGCTCAAAATACCAGAGTTTTCTATGAACCTCCAGTATATGCGGGTGGATAAGCATCTCCCGACGCATCTTCACCACAACAACTCTGCGCTAGTTGCGTAGTATACCAAGGGCTGCCAACTTTACCTTTTTGGAAGTTGTCAATCATTCAAGGCAACTTTCAACTAAACTCTCCGAGACGAGAAGGGCTAAATTTGTAGATCCCTTCCCTTCAGAATTCAGATATCGCAGCTCCTACCTATCGAAACACCCTTCAAATCCTGAATAAGGGGGGGTTTGTGTGTGTCCACTCTTATAAAAGTGAGTTGCAGCAATACAACCGCAAGGTCCAATCTCTAATGGACAACTTCTGGAACTAGAGTTGGAATACTCTTAAATCTCCAGTGAGTTTACGTCAGTATAACTTATACCATAGGGACATCTACCAGAAGCAGAAAAAACAGAGTAATACCTGGCACTTTTTATTGATCGCTGAGCCCTATCCCATTGGTGAAAATATATGCCTCTGTCATGCGCATAGGGCTGCTTTTGAGAGTTACAACTTTTCTATCTTCAATGACAAGTAATTTATTAAATATTTGCGGGGGTTATTATTCTCACAAAAATAATTGTATAAGCTCTTAAAAATCTCGAAAAAATAAGTTACGCACAATTTTTTTGTTAATTTTTTGTTTACAGCTTCTGGACATTTTTTCTTTTTATTAAGTTTCTTTATCCTTATTGACGAACGGTCCTGAGTTGACCCCTTTCCCCCCTTTCCAGTGGCATAATTATCTGCATGCCACTTTCAATTTTCAATAAACAATTACACCTTTTATAATTTAAAATGCCAAGAATTTGTGTAGTTTTGTTTACTTTGTGCCATCTGGTGCTGCGTGTTTAAATATGAGAGGTCTCATCTAAAGGTACCTATAATTAGTATGAGCAAAGTTCGACGTTAGTTACATAGATGGCACCACCTACAGTACGGCGTTGTCAATAATGTTTGAACATTTTACCATTTTAAATTGTTTTAGCCTTATTCTAGACGACGAATTTAAAATATATGTTGTAGGGATACATCTGATATAAAGCTGAAAATATGAGAATCCTTTTGAGATAACACGTGAAAACTATTTTGTGAATTATTGGCAACAATGGCAACTGCGCAAAGTAGTCAGCTGATTGTGGTAAACACAAATCTTTAACCTGTTATTAAATTAAAACAAATCGATGGAAAATAATGGGGAAATGGGAAAATTCGAACATATTGAAACCCGGTTGAAAATGTCCCATTTAGAACAATACGTGTTTCGTGTTGTGAACTACACTTCAAGGTATAACAATTCGAACAGTTATTCTTATGCACCTATTAATTTAGTGGGAAAATACGTGAAATATCCTTCCTATGGTGATTTCCCCGAGGCATATTTTTTAGTAAGTATAAAATTGTCTTACAATTACCTATAATTTACGAATGTTACTGCATTCTGTCACCTCTAGTCATTTAAAATTTAAATTATATTCGGTTATTTTAAGTGGAAGTAAAGTACTCGAACTAAAGGAATCGAAATGGCTAAAATACACTTCATAGGTAGCCAATAATTCAAACATTAAGATTTCTTTGTTTAATCTTAATTTATATCAAGCAAATAATTAAGATTTAAATCCCTTGATGACGTCACGTCACAATCGTCACATCCCAAGGCTTTAGAAATCAAGGTTGGTAGGTACATACTGAATAATATATACCTATTTTGCGGGAATTCCAAGATTGCCAGTTAAAATTTGTGTGATAAATAAATTAAACTAAGCAAATTTGTATACAGAATACAGGGTAAGTCAAGGTTTTAGTCGCGGAACTTCTGAAACAGCAGGTGATGAAACAAACTATTGTTGCAAAAAAATCACATTTTTTTAAATACCTCTGAGAATGTTTCACTACTTATGATACTTGGACCGCTAATTTATGATAGGAACACAGAACACAAGATAATTAAAAAGTTAAAATGCGTTTAATACCTAACTAATCATGTATATATAGATAAAATAAATAGATGAGAACAGCATAAATAATAGTTATTTCTTGTATAATGTTTTAAGTAGCATTTTATCCACGCAAGAATGTTTAAACGCGAGAATGTGAATAAAGTGGATAAAAGGCAATTAAAACACGAATGCAATACAACGTTTAATCCATAATCACATCACAGTCATATTTGTGGAGTCAGAATTATTGGAATTTAATAAAGAAATATTGACACGACTTGATATTTCTTACTAGTACTCAATGAAACCTAGTAGGTTTTGTTATACCTACTGGTTACTATTGTACTTTGTTTATTATCAATTATTTAATAAACAGTTCTATCTGAATTTGGTAAAAGTGCAAGAAAGTAATTATGTTCCTGTTGCTGTTTTTGAAGAAGCTCAAGAAGCAATTTTCCATTTATTGTCAGCGAAATCCAGGGAACATAACCAAAAAGTGTTCACCAAATTAAACGAATGGAGGGAAAAACGGAGAGTAATGACAATAAATGAAGAAGTCATACTACCATATTTTTTGTCTGAAGAAAAAATATGCAATTGCATCTATGTGGTCGAAGTATTCGATATTGAAGGCTACTATAAAGGTCTATAAGAATATAGATATTGGAAAATATAACAAGCTTACTGCTTATTTGAAGAGTGAATCGAGAGGATACAAAGCAAAAAAAGCTGCAGTACTGGAAAGAGCACATATTGGACAATTTTTGACTGGGGTTTCCCGATAAAGAATATTTAATGATTAAGGTAATACCTCTTTACCTTTTACATGTTGTTAGGTAGTTTGAATTACTTTAGGTTGCACTAATAATAATGAGGGTTTCTGGTGCCTGGCGATGCTGCGAATTGACAAATTTAGTGACGTACAGGACGTTGGCAGTTATCTACTTGTTTCAATACCTGACACCAAGACGGGCATTTCAAGAAATTTTACAAATATAAAAGGATTTTGCGTGAATGCTGTTGAAATATGCAGAAAATAAATTTTTCTGCGCCCAATTCTAAAACAAGACAGATTCTTTTTAAGATACGTCAATCAAAAATGTATTTATCAGCCTGTTGGAATCAACACATTGGCACCCTCAATAGCTGTTTCATTCCTGAATATCGCAAATCCGGAAGCATATACTGGCCATTGTATGAGGCGCACTTCAACGACATTATTAGCCAATAAATCTCTTACAATCATCAAACGGCATGGTGGATAGAAGAGCCCCTCTGTAGCAGAAAGTTATGTTGGGAGTCTATATCTATAGTCCAATTAACTAAGCCTTTAAATCGAAATTTTGTCAACTTGGCTGAATTTTTGATATGAGTTAGTTTAAGGTATATTATAACAATAAGTGAGAGTAATTTTTTGTTCAACCCCCGGCCAAGGGTGGAAAAAGATAAAACAAAGGGCTTTTTCAAGATAACTCAAAAAGGGTAAGAGCTAGAAAAAAAAGTTTTTCATGAAAGTTGTAAAGCAGACAATTCTACATAAAAATGGTCTCTTAGCTTTTTCTTGTACTATTAAAATTAACAGAGTTAGGGAGGCTAGAAGTTAAGGGAAGATTTCAGAAATTTAATTTTGTTAAATCATTAAAATTAACGATTAAAAATTTGATTTTTTGTTATAACTTTCTTATTAAAAATTAAAAAATATATCTATTTCTCTGAAAAGAAAAGTTACATATTTTAGAGCAGATTGAAAAAAAAAATTACAAAATTCAATCATTTTTCTGTTTGTTATGATTTTTTTTAAATTTCTGAAATCTTCCCTTAACTTCTAGCCTCCCTAACTCTGTTAATTGTAATAGTACAAGAAAAAGTTAAGAGGCCATTTTTATGTAGAATTGTCTGCTTTACAACTTTCATGAAAAACTTTTTTTTCTAGCTCTTACCCTTTTTGAGTTATCTTGAAAAAGCCCTTTGTTTTATCTTTTTCCACCCTTGGCCGGGGGTTGAACAAAAAATTACTCTCACTTTTTGTTATAATATACCTTAAACTAACTCATATCAAAAATTCAGCCAAGTTGACAAAATTTCGATTTAAAGGCTTAGTTAATTGGACTACTAACAAACTTCATATTGCAAGGAAAATCCAAGGAAAATATAGTCTGTTCCTTACAAGAAGAGACATCCGTAACTTCTGCAAATTCTTCACAAACTTCGGCAGATGTTATGCGTTCCGAAAATGATGGCAACAATGTTACAGGGGTTGTTATTAACCGAAAGCAAGTTAAATGTGATAAAACAAAAAACGAAATGTCTATTACTGTTTATATTTATGTTATGTTTATTATTATTAATGTAGATGTTAATGTTAATAAGTAAATTAATTAAATTTGATTTATTATCGGTTTATCATTATTCTACTAGTGAAATAAAGTTACTTTATTCCACTACTGGATAAAGTATCACTTTAAACGGTTTATATGTGTGGATAAAAGTCCAATTATAAGGTGATTGTGGATAAATTAATTTTTTTAAAGTTAAGATATATCTCCTAAAAAATCAAAATTTCTGCAGCGTGATTGTTTGAACTCCAAATATACTACGTTGTATTTAAATGGTATATCTATGAAAGAAGTCCTATAGATGTTTTTTGATTATAATTTAAAAAAATATGTATCAAAAAGATTGTTCTTCAAATAAAAAAAAGGTTTTTTTCTTTTTCTTAGAAATACTATTGGGAATTAAAAACATTAATCGAATTTTCAAAATGCTCAATGCCGTAGATATTTTGAGTATCCTAGTTGTATTGACAAGTAAATTTTTGCCTCTATTAGACGCACTATTGATCAGTGGTTGCATTGATAACGAAGAATGAGACATACCGTTTTTAGAGGATGATATTTATGCTCACATAGAGAACTTTCACGACGAAAAAATGTGAGCAGGAATTTTCGAGTAATAAATTAAAATAGGGGTTGCCGACCCTAAGATCCTAAAAAGGTTGCACAATATATTTGTTTTTCGTAATCCATGGCGGCGTATACAAAGAAGCGTTTTTTTCATTCCTGACAAAATAAATTTTGTTTGTAGTTATATCTATTGAAATTTTAATTTGATATTAGTATTCCATTTTCCAAATTTCATAAAGCTGTAATTTTATAAAAATTAAAAATGTTGAGAAAACAATGATTCTTTATGTTATCTACAAAAATAAATATATGTGCCACCAATTTCGAGATTCCAGTGACGGAAACCCCTAATTTCATTTTTTATTTCACAAGATTCTGCCGAAATTTTTTCACCATAAAAGCTGTCATTGTGGGTCTAGAAGTCGTCGTCGTCGTCCCCCCCCCCCTAAAAAATAGCGATCTCCTAGCTTCCTTATAAACATATAACCACTTTAATTTTCCCCAGCCATTGTCTCAAATATCGTCAATCTGTCAAAAAACTGTATTTGAGAAAGTGTTATTTCAACAATCTGTATCTCAAAAAAATGTTAGAGGTCCTATGGCACGTGGTGGAAAAAAAGCGAAGGGCACCAAGCGGACTACCGCCCTCAAGACTTCGACCATTTGGGTGCAGAAGATTACATTACGTTAGAGTAAGAAATAAACCTTGAGGCATTCCCAACACACGATTTTGGAAGGCAAATTATTTTCCTTTTTAGATTTGAAAGCGCAGTGGTACCCAGAGACATCTGCGTCTATGAAATATACAACCCAGGCGCTGTTGTACGGATATGGTGCAAATTGATGTGCCCCTCGAAACGCCCTTGGGTGTTGTTATGGGAGGGTGCGTCGCAAGAATGCCCCCACAAAAGCAGAAAGTTCCATCCGAAGATCAAACCCGTAAATCACATGACAAAGTAAGCGTCGGCCGGTCAAAAAGTTGTCTAAAAGTTGCAGCACTAATCGTGTGACGTCGCAGAAGGAGTTTCGCTAACAAATTATGCTGACGTCACACGATCAGGGCTGTACTACAAAGCCTCACGCCTTTGTTTGGTGACATCACCATTTGTGGTGTTCAAAATTATAAATTACAGAAGCCGTCGTTCACATTGTTGCTAGCTAAATATTATTATTTCTATAACTGCTACAAGATTAAATAATTATGTGTATTCTAAACTTGCAACATTCCTGTGGCATTTACTTTAGAGCTAATTGGCAACTTTGTTTAAACAGTAATCATTTAAAAATATATTTCTAACTCTGTCACCAATGAAGTGACGTCACTTGCGAAGCGTGAGGGCCTTGTTAATCAAGGTGGTAATGGCTTAGCTTCGTTTCTTTCTACGATGAGTTTTAATGTCTTTATAATTCTAGTATAATCCGTTTAGAGATTAACCAAAGCCTCTTGGAATACCACTGGTCCATAGACGCTGTGTTATTGGGCGGATGTCAGCCTACTTCCGACTTGCAGTATAATATGATGCTGAAAGGCTTGATAGGTAATTTTCAGAGAGAAGACAGTGTTGATAAGAGGCGTCATTCCAATGATATCTGTGATATAAAGAGTCAGAATGAAGACTTGTTCTTAAATTTACCGGTAAGTACGAAGAGTTGATCCAAAATAGTTGAGTAAGATGTTTTGAAATAGAGTACTAGGTATCGATAAAATAAAAATATGAGGATTTTTTGTGTTAAATTCTGGCACTAGGCACATTAATTAAGGGATATTAAAAAAATTACAAAATTTTGGGCGATTTTCAAAGAGCTGTAACTTGGAGGGAAATGGTCGTAGAGAGAATCAAAAATAAAGAAATTTGAAGCTTCAAGTGTCTAGTTTTCAGATCTGCAGTTTAAAATTTTTTAGCGTCAGCAGTTTTTGAGTAATAATTTTTGACTTTGGCAATTACTCGGGAAATAATGGTCGTATAGAAAATCCAAGCAGAGTTTTTAAAACTGCAAGGTATTCTCTACAAGTCGGAATTATGGTTTTTGATAAAAAAAAGTTTTTAAGTGATAATGTTGGTTAGAAAAAAGGTAAAAAATTGCATAACCAGGGATATTTGAATAACTTGACGTAACTTTACAAATAATGAATAAACTAAGGATATCCACTGTAACTTTTCAACCTCAAAGTGCCCTAACGAAACCGTGATAATTTCAAAATGCTGCGAATTCTTTTTTTAGTGCTCGGAATGTTTAGATTTGTCATTTTTGCTGAAAATTAATGTAATAAGGAATTTTTCACTTTTTATTTATTTTTTTAAGTTAAAAATGTTTTTTAGCAATAATCCATATTTTCATCAAAACACGTTCACGATTCTAAAAAAAATTAAAAAAATTTTTTTCTTAATTATTTTTTCAAATTTTTTAAAAACAAACGTCAAAAAAAGTTTGGTTTATTTGGTGTAGCAGATCACAATTTAATATCGGGTATTGCCGTCTCTGTTCCTGATCACCGATTCTAAAAATTCTGAAAATATTGCTGTTTGAAATCGTACCTAATAAGTCTAAAAATTAAGCGCAAAATTACTTTCTGATATTGCGATCAATATCTACCATTTTCAATCATTTCTAGTGAGCTTCATTACCACTGCACTATTGAACGTTAAACTTTGGTTTCTATCTGAAAGATGGCGCCTTTGTGTATTAACTTTCACATTTAAAATTCATTTGACTGCTCGTCTTAATATTGTTAGTTTTCGACAATTTTGTAAAGGTCTCTAATTAGTGGAATCAAGATAGCTTAAAATTACGCATTATTTCGAAATAATTATGGGAAGCATCGATTTTCCTAAAACCTTTTGAAATTACATGGAGATAAGTATTAGAAAAAAGTTATAAACTTATTTTTGTACGTAAATTGTTTTATAATTGTTTAAACAATAATAAATAGTTTTCTTAAGAACATTTAAAATAATTCAATGAATTTTAAATCGAATTCTTTCAAATTGACAATATAGGGGTTTTCGATGTCGCTGAACAAGAATATGAAGTCGGAAAATGAAAATTCAAAATGGATGATCCAATATGGCCGACTATTTTATACAATTTATTTAATAATTATCGATTTTAAATCAAACTCGCTTATATTTGTAATATAGGGGTTTTTGAGGTCGCTAAACAAGAAAATCAGAAAATGAAAATTCAAAATGGCTGATCCAATATGGCCGACTATTTTAAACAATTTATTTAACAATTATCGATTTTAAATCAAACTCGCTCATATTTGTAAAATAGAGGTTCGAAAATGAAAATTATAAATGGCTAAAGAGGTTTTATTGAAAATATGTTTTAATTTTTTAAAAACAAATTTATTCCTACAAACTAAATAATTTTTAAATCTCATCGAGTTCTTGCTCTTCTTCAAAAATAACTTGGCAATTAAGACTTTAAGCCAATTAAATTTGAAAAATAAAACATTTTGATTTTAAATACAAAATTACAAAATCAAAATCAACGTCTATTATTTATTATTATCTCTATTATTTAATAACTATTATTTATTTATTCATTAATTATTTTAAAAATGGATCAATATTCATATATAAATATTAAACTCATACATTTACAGATTTAGCATAAAAGAAAACGAATGTAAATACCTTAAATGCAAACTGAAGATTATTTGTAATATTAAGTAATAATATTACATTAAAGAATTACAAGTGTACGAGAGTATAACCACAAAATGGACAAAATATGTGAATAATACACTTTTTAACACACTGATAACTGCAGCTTACTCGAAAACATAAAAATCATATTCTTATACCATTTATAATTATTATTTAATTCTTATAAACGAAAAACGCTTTTAAAATAAATGAAACTGTAAGTAACAAAAAAATATTTGGTGCGCTCACTGCTTAGCTTCGTCACCCAAACTCGTATCAGTGTCTACATCAATAAGAGAATTTATATTCACAATTTCAGATACAGAATATACGTATTAAAAATGAATATAATAAATTCATCGATTCATCAAAAAACTTTATTTTTTGCTGTTATAACAATTTTCCACTTATTACTATAAATAAAAAAATTATTTTTCGCTGGAATAATTTAGCGTACACTCTACAGTTGGTAACTTTTTATATGTTGTTTCTGACAACTTTACAAAGCGAAAAATAAAAAATTCCCTCTTCCAGTAATTTTCGCGAAGTCAAAATCTATCTTGACTCCACTAAATTACAATCATTCTTATCATTTAAGGCTTGTTTACACGGGGACAGTAGGTAAGTGGTAACTAAATTTTAAGTTACTGCTTTTTCTGCAAGTGCTATTCGCACTGGTAAGTTCTAAGTTTAGTTGTTGGTAAGTTCTAGTGCAGTTTATATATTTGCACACCTGACAAGATGAACGTGCGGCAGCAGTTTGTAGAAGAATTTAATGGCATACTACACGATATCCCAAATATTATATTAGAAGAAATAAATGAAGAAATATATGATGAGAAAAATAGACCTAAACGACTATGTCATTTTGAAAAGTAATATACTTCAACTACAGACTCAACCAACGTATGAACCTGTTACTTGTTTACTAATTCGTGCGCGAACTTGTTTAGACGAGTCAAGTAACCAGTACAACGCGTCAACTTACACGAAAAAATAGAATAAATTCTATTCCAGTGTACTAAATTTTTACTTGCTCCATAACTTGTTACTTACCACATATGCGCTGTTCAAATAGGTTCAAGTGACTTAAAATTTTGTTGACTGTTCCCGTGTAAACAAGCCATTAGATTACAATTTTTTTTATCAGGTTTTCTGCATTGTCTATGCATATTACAATGTATATTATTTTACTCAATAAACTGATGGAAACACACCTTTTTCGCACAATTGATTATTAGCAGTCAACAATTTTGGTCTCTAAACAAAGTACCTTATGCAAAATGAAATGTAACATTATAACATGAAGAAAACCTAACCTATAAATGTTACGTCTTAAAATGTTTCTTCTGAGGTAGCCACTAGTGACCTCTACACTTTTTGGCATTCTCAAATGATTACTAAAGTTGCATTTACAAAAATAGGAAGAGAATGTATTTAATCGCACAATCCACTTGTTTCTATTCTAAACCTGATCACGTTTTAGTACGAAGTTATTTTACACATCTTCCAATATTTGGACCTAAAATCGCTGAGTCGTTGCGCCCAGGTCAATAAAAGATGGAGCGAAGCCGCTGCAGATCCAGTATTGTACCAGAATTTGAGTTTAAAAGTAAGACACTACTTCACCTTTGCTTCAAGTTTCAAAATGATTTGTTTGAATTGTAGCCTTACTGGTACCTAGTCAATTGCAGCACCCTAGAACACTTCATGAACAAATGTAAAACTTTAAGGAAACTTGACTTGTCTTGGTGCGGCAACGAAGTAGATGGTTTCGCCGAACAACTGAAAATGTATGTCTTTTTCAAACCAGGAAGCCGTTACCACCATTATTAAAACGTTTTTGCAGGTTTCTAAGGAAAGGATGCACCACTCTCACCCACTTGTCCCTAGGAAACTGCGAATACGTAAACATCGAGATCATGGTCGAAGTTTCAGCTTGCAAGGAACTAGTTGGTAAGAATCTAGCAGTTTCAACTGCAAGTTGCTTTTACGGTTCTGTTCTAGACTTGAGATTGAGAAACGTTGGTCAGTGGTTGCAACCATCTCTAGACAACTTAACTAAGCTGGTGTCGCTGGACCTGACTGGTACGGATATTCAAGACAACGATTTGATAAAAATCTTGAAAGCGAATCGGAATTTGAAACACATCATAATAGGTGAATTCAAAGGTAACACTTGTACTGTACAGTATTGTCTTGTTTTTATTTCAGATTTATGCGAGAATCTTTTCTTTCTCGATCAAGTCGTGGAAACCGTGGTGAATTATAACAAAAATTTGGTGACTTGGAGCTCTTGGAAGACCCTTTCTTTGACGGCCGATGGTGTGAAATTGTTTAGGGAATGTCGCGATCTCAGGGAGCTGGATTTGGGCTGGTGCCTTATAAACAAAGACCCAGGAGATTGCCTAGAGCACGTGGCTGATGGCTGTAAGCAACTGAAAAGGTACGTTGTTTCCCCAGAATTAGTTAATCCTCTCGTGAAAGATCATTAATTTGTTGCTCAAACAAATCCGCCCCAAGAAGATATACTTTCATTTATATGTAACTGGTGCTCCATGGTAATATATTTTTTTATATTGTGTGATAAATTCAAGGTTGATTCTGTCTGGGTGGAGGGGACTAAATGACCATCTGATAACGCCAGCGGTTCTAATGTGCAAAGAATTGTCTCAGCTAGATCTTCTGGGGATAAAAAATATATCTGTGGATGTTTGCGAAAAAGCCTTGCTATTGCTGCCAAAGCTCAGGCTACTTGATATCAGTTTTTGTAATAGCATCCGACAAGACGAGGTAAAAGAATAAGCGATGTTTTTGGGTATCTTGATAGATGCGTGATTCTGTTTTGGATTTCAGGTGGAGATTTTAAGACAGCAGTACCCTCACATCACAATACAGAGGAGTTGTCAGTATGTGGTGACTGATTATTTGAATTAGTAGGAAATTTCGTAGGGATACAAAGCACTCCATTGAGGTGTACATAATTTTAAAGTTGTGTGTAAAATTGTACCGGAATATTCACCTTGATCGTATAGCACTGTATTTATAAAATGTACATAGGTGTAGTATTTAGATATTTATAATAAAAGTATTATTTTCCTCTTCAAGCCGTAGTTAAAAACATAAACATTTAACCATGAAAGTTTTTAAGGACGTAGTTTTTGAAAATCTGCCGAATTCTTACAAAAACACCAGGGTCCTTTCTTATTCATTTGCACCCATCAATTATCCGATTTCTTAAATCTTCCACATTTTCCACTGAAATAGTATAAACTAATGACTTTAGATGGCCTCATTGGAAATAATCCAGTGGGTTTAAGTCCAGGGATCGAGCAGATCATAAGTGAAGTCCACCTCGACCATTCCATCGATCTCCGTATTTACTGTTAAAAGCTCATGAACAACCACACTAAAATGCGCTGGTGCACCATCGTGCATAAACCACAATGCATTTCTTGTTGCAATGGTACAGAAATTGTGGTACCGTTTGTTTAAAAACCCAAACATTCAACGAGAAATGATGTTGAAAACGATCTTCAAGTGCCTCATGTGAATTTCTGCAGCCCATACATGGTTATTGTGAAAATTCCTTATCGCATTTCTTGAGAAAGTCGCTTCATCGGAAAAAATAATCAGCGTCAGTGGTTGAGGGATTTACCAATGTGTGCAAAAGTCATTGACAGAATGCAATACGTGACGAAAAATCAGCAGGAAGAAGTGCCTGAACGCGTTGTATGTGGTATGGGTACAGCAAATAATCCCTAAGAATATTCCAAACAGTCCCTTTACTTAACATTCGAAGTATTTGCAATTTTTCTAGAAGATGTACCTGAATCGACCTGTTTTATGTTCAGCACATTCTCATCCACTTCTACCGTTTTTACTCTCGTTGGTCTTCCTGGTCCTCCATTTCAATTTAATTTGCCTGTTTCATGAAGGCGTTGATGAATAGGCTTTGGAAGAAGTATATAATTGAAAATAAATGGCGTTGAACATAAAGGTGCGTTTATAATAGTAAATATTCCCGACACCAAAACGCATATATCAGGAACGTTTACAATAACAAATCAAGGAAACGAGACAGTTTCCAATTATTTGGAATTTTATAAAAAAATATCTAGCACCACGACTAAAACAGGCAAAGTCATATCACTTATTCTTGGCAATGCGAGATGGAAAGGTCACGAACCAGGTAGTAGATAAAAATGCCAATACCAAGTTGGCTCAATAAATTTGCACAGTGCTTAAAATTGCCGGATTCTTCTACTTACACCGGGCATTCCGAAGGAGTTCTGCCACTATTCTGGCAAAACAAGGGATGCGTATTTTAAGTCTTGAAAGGCACGGTGGCTGGCGTTCGTCCTCTGTCGCTGAGGGGTATGTCGAAAACTCTGTAGAAAATAAAAATCAATTTTCAAAGATTTTACATAGAATTTCTACGGTGACAAAAAGTGATATCGCAGCCCAGAGTATTATAAAATGTGCAACAACTATTGAATCATCAGAACAGAATATTTTAAACCCGAATTCTGTTGCTCCAATAAATTTTAATAATTGTTCAACTTGTAATTTTAATTTTGTCTTTAATAAATCACTTACCGATCTCTAATTTGTAAACGTTTCTTACATATGTATGATTGGGTTTTATTTTTTGACATTTCTTAATCAACTCATTTTGACATTATTCGAAATCTTGCAAAGTCGCCTTGGTTGTTTGGATTTTGTCATTGCTACGGTGTTTATAAACAAAGCTACATAAAAGTTGCAATTTTGCTGGTTTTGAATTATTATTATTTATAAATGAGTGCACCATGCTTGCGAATTTTTATTGCCCAAGAAATCGTAAGTTCGCTACGGACGAGCATATAAAAATTTAAAAGAATGGTGCCAGAACAAAAATACTGGTGTTTCTGAAACGTCAATTTTCTATGATTCCTAATAAGATTGCACAGTTTTTGAAACTAGAACATCCTGAAACATATACAGGCCATTCATTCCGAAGAACATCGGCAACGTTACTGGCTAATACAGCAGTTGATGTATTAGCAATCAAGAGACATGGTGGGTGGAAATCAGCCACAATTGCAGAAAGTTATGTTGCTGACAGTTTAAAAAACAAAAATGAAATAGCCAACAGGATTCTTTACAATGACACTTCTACTCCAGGTTCTAGTAGCACGTCATGCTGTTTTAATGGATCAGTCAGATAATATTGAGCCTCCGGTGACAATTAGTAAACGCGAGGGGAATAATTATCCAGATTTTATAAATGTTACTAAATGTGAATAACTGTATAATTACTATAAATATTCATTCATAATAATTAATAAAATGTAATGTTTATCAAATATTTATATTTATTTGTTCATTTACTATAGTAGTGGGAGCAGATAAACAGTTATTTATCGATCTAAAACAAGCGAAAAAATAGTACTTATGCCGCATGAGTAATAATTAATAAATTAATTTAATAATAATTAAACAAAACACCATTTAGTTCTGATCACTATATTTATTATCCTTCCTTGTACAGAAGTTTTGTGAATATTAAAAAAATAATACACTACAACTCAAGATCTTGCATATTTAAGAATTAGTTCCTAGCCCTCTACAAATTTTTGTTCTGTGTGACATGCATAGACCTTATAAACTACTAGGTCTATGGTGACATGTAACATAAGGGTGCTCTAAACTTTGACAGCTGAACATCCTGTCAATCTTACGTATTTTTTTCGCTTACCGCTCGCCAAAATGTCTTCCGATTCCGAATCCAAGACGAAGTTTCTAGTAGTGGGGATGATAACCAGCGATGAGTTTCAAAAATGCCGCTTCATAGTCAACAAATTGAGCAGTAGCTACCCTAAGAAGTACGAAGCCCCTCAAATAAGGGCCATGCTAGACGTGGAATGGGAAGAATACGTCACTAAGGTAAGTAGGATTAGATTCCAAGTAATTCTCGTTCTCAAAATTACGCCTAGACGCAAAGGGAATATGGAGGAGCATTTTGGGAAATCAGCAAGTCAGTTATGGTGTACCTAAATCATGAATACCTGGGTGACGACAAGGCCTTGGAGAGGCACATTTCGAAGAAGTACAGGTTTACTCTAACGAAGAACTGGTATGAAATGGGCAAGTGCCATCTAGCGGACTACTTGGAAGAGAAAATGAGTAAATTTGTAATACAATTGTTCCCGCGAAGAAATACGCTAATAATTCATTTTTATCATACTTGCAGAGACAGTTGGCATATCTGACGGTGTCTATAGACAATCGAGTGATTGGAACAATGTTATTTGAGGTAGGTAAGTAAGCTGCACAGATTTGGTGTCGTTTGATCATAATGGGGGTTGCTTTCGCGGTACAGCAAAAATAAAACGCTCTCTCAACGGTAATAATAAAGTATTTTATTGAAAACTAAGTTGTATAGAAAAAGACGTGTTGACGGGGCGAGTCTTCGTTGGAGAATCCCTGTTTGTGGAGTCGGTCGTAGGTATATGGGTAAGCATCTGGTCGCCGGCGCCAGTACGCCGTAGACCCTTCCTGGAACGCTGGAGCGTCCGGCGGCGTCCTGCTGGCGCTCTTGACGTAATGCTTAAAATTTGCTCACTTGCGGCATGTGTACCCACAATAATTTACCTATCTTGACTGGTGACTTTGATAAAGGTCAGTTGGGATATACGTACAAAACAGTTTACAAGCCACAAAAAGGATTAAACCAAAAACTAATAAATCTCTTCTACCAAATTTAATTCGTAAGGTTGATGTGATAAACACCGACTTCTCTAAATCAACAAATCTACCTTTAAAATAGATTACTTTTCTCTAAATCACTCATCAATCAGATGTATTTACAACTGTATCAGGTGTTCCACAGGGCTCTGCGTTGGGACTCATGTTGTTTAACATTTTTATTAACATACTGTCAACAAACTTTGTGTTACTGCTTCTTTTATGTTGATAACGTACCAATCTGTAAAGCTATTGTTCAAATGATTGTAAGTATCTGGTGCAATGTCAATAACTTAAATCAAAATAACCTCGTAATCGTAATCTCGCTTTTGATACCATAATTTGACTAATTACTGTTTCAAATCTTTAAGTTTCATAATAAGACATCTTTTAGATTTTAACAATTTAAATGCAATGTAATTGGTTGTTGTTGTATTATGGTAAATATACTGATGTTTTGGAAAGAATATAAAAGTGTTTCCTTAAACGTCTTGATTGTGGAATGGAAATTGACTAGCTGATGGTGTATTACAGCTCGATCTCCTTTAATGAGTTTTCTGACGAAATACAGTTTACAGACCTATAATAATTGTGTGCTGACTTGTTTGAATTGATTCAATCGCATCTGTGCCCATTATATCGTGGTTTTAAGTCGAACACTTCTGCTGAGACATTTGGTATTCCCCAAGGTCCGATATTAGGTCCTCTTTTTTTATAATGTTTATCAATGCGTTTATCGTTCCACTAGTATACCCGAGGAAGACTTCCACTTGTAGCACATGGAGTTAGATCAATAGAATCGTTTTAATTCTATATTTTAAGACAGGTATCCAACTGTTAAAATGTAACAACTTACATTTTTAAGCAAATGCGCATAATACGTTTACTGCAAAATGAGTAAAAATGATTTATAGTAAATACTTAAATGAAACAGCATTTACTGGCCTTTACGCATACGAACCTTTTTTCTACTGTTCGATGTTCTCTTCCAAATTAGCTCTACAACGACATAGTCCCCCTTGCCTCTGAAAATTTCCTCACCAAATGCAAAATAACACTAGGTGGTTACGCTGGCAGTCCAATCCACAGGTAGGCACATCTTATTGCTTTATTGCACATTTTCCTTCATTAAACGCATCTTTTCCCAGGATAATGAAGAACAGTTGGATTCAGTGCGGCGGATACTACCTTAGAGGTAAGAAAATGCCTTGCGAAAATTACGCTGTGCCCCATGACCGAAGGGGGGTACTTTCTACTTGTAACGATGGAAGACACGTCAACAATAGCACCCAGTTCTTCATAACTCTGGCCCCAGCGCCTTGGATGGACTACAAATACGTCGCTTTTGGGTAAAAACCAACGATCTGTTGGTTTTACAAGTAATTATACTTTTTCCAGGCAACTAATCCAAGGAGCAGACATCCTGAAGCAGATAGAAGAAGTGCCGACTTGCTACCAGTCGCCCAAACACTCCATCGACATAGTCACGTGTGGCGAGCTGGTCTTCACTGAAAGCCCTGAGTATATTTCGAACACGGAACTGGGCAGATTCCAGCATTTGTCAGATACGGCCCTTCTGGATACACTGATAGGACCGCTCAAGGCACCAGCGCCTTCCTTGGACTCTTTCACGCCTGTGAGTAGGATGACGAAGACGGCATGGCCCTGGAAAGTCTTAGGACGCATGTATTTTCCGCATCCGCCTTATGCTTCGCCAGAAGACGACGAAGACAAAGGTAGAATCTTTTCATGTTTCATTAAATTACAGAAGTTTTTACATATTTACACAATCGTTGCTTACAGAAATTGTTTGTGTCTGATGACGTTGTTCTTGATAACACACTTGGTATACCTGTCCAAAAGATTGTGGATACTCCTTACAGAAAAGCTTATTGTTGCAGCTTTTAACCCGCAGATTGTCATAGTTTTTTCTAAAGACGAGAGCAATATGAAGTTACTGACATGTTTTCGGTATAAAACGTTTTATATATGTCTTGTCTGGTCTGTTGGCGTGGGAGCAATACGGTTTCATTAAAGTAGTCATCATCATCGTCATCATCTTCATCTAGTGGTTGGTCCTTAAAAAAGTCCCATAGCACTGCGGCCTAATTAGGCCTATTGTGCGTCCCACTACTAGTCCTATTCAGCAAGTAGATTTGTCCTTTTTACAAAGTCCAAAAGCTTCCTTGCTGACACTTCTCTCAATTCCTTGGGTTCCAAATAGGGTCTCCCAAGGAGCGTCATTCTGCTACGTGCAAATCCCGGGCACTCGCCCAGGATATGCAGAGAAGTTTCATCCGCTGATTCACATCCTCGGCAGACTGGACTGTCTACAAGCTTTAGCTTATGTAGATGTTTCCTAAAGTGACAGTGTCCCGTTATGAGTCCTGTCACTCTCCTGAGCCGGATTCTATTCAAGCTCAGTAGCTCATTCGCTCTTCCCTTCGAAGGATACTCCATAAGCTCCTTAGAATGGCTATGTCCTGGCCTTGAAGTCCAGTATTTCCTATGTTCTGTCTCTGTCCATTTGCCCAGAGCCCGCCTGACCACACTGGGAGATGTGCCACAGAAGGGCTCCGGGCCAATGAACACTGTCTCGGATCCCTTCCTAGCAAGTTCATCCGCTTTCTCATTTCCACAAATGCCTTTGTGCCCTGGCACCCAACACAGTCTGACTGTATTGTTGGTGGCCAGTTCAGTCAGCATTTGTAAACAGTCCCACACCAGTAAAGTAGTAGTTCGACTGTTACTAACCCAGTCTTTGTCTCGACCACGATATCTTATACAAACTGGGGATAGGTGTGGTATTGAACTCACTATTGCAAATTTTCAATCGTATTTACAAAATAGATGGTTTCTACCAATAGTCTGGAGTCCAGTTTAAGCTAATCAAATTGCAACTTTGGGGAGAGTACAGTATCTGTTTCTCAAGTTATGTTCTTGTATACAGTTCTCCATAATATTTTGGACTGTCCTGGTGTTTAAATATGATTCAAATCAATGTACCAAAACTCTCAACTAGAAGCATTAACGTGTTTATCTACCACAGCACGCAATAACATCCTTGTAGCCTATTTTTTTTTGTTATATTTTAATAGTGGACTTAACATCAACTATTAGTGCAATATGCTGCTGACGTTTACTAGATATTGCGATATCACAGAAGTGATGAGGACACAAACAATTTTTATAAACGCTCGTATACCGCTTTTAAACAATTTTATTTTTCCTGGTATAATTTAATGATAATTTTTTTTCAGTTGATTACAACATTTATAAAAAATTACTTGGACCATACTTCGATCCATGTTATTACCCGAAATTTCCAAATAGTGCGCCCTCATCTCCCGGTAGCAGTGACATTACTATATAATTTTTATCTGGTCTTGAACTGTTGTTGTAAATCCGTGTTTATTAAACTGTGTACACAATAAAATTGATTTTTTTTTTAAAGTAACTTTAAGAAAAAAGGGAAACGACTGTCCTTTTGTCCTCTTGCAATTCCTGTAAAGATGTACAGGTTATCCCGAAATGATTCTTAGGTCATACTCAAACATATATTCGCAAATGAAAATTGTAAATGATCACAAAGCACTTAAAAAAAAACTAAAATAAACAGAAACTAAAGTTAATTGTTAAAATTAATGATTTATATTAATATTAATTACAAATGCAAGTATTCAAAATTACGCTGTTGCATCAAATGTGTTGAAAATAGTGTCGTCAAACTAAGGGGGACTTGCAGGTATTCAAAATTATGTTGTTGCTTCATATGTCTACTTAATATATTCTAACTAAGGGGGATTTATTCGTCAGGCCAAAAAAATATAATCTGAAATACTGTCATTCTCAAAAAACACACCAGTACTACTCCATTCAATGATGGTGTTTCAATACAGGGTGTCCCAATATTCCGTGTACATAGAGCTATCACCGTCTCTTGCGATCAAAAGCGATCAAAATAAGCAGATTAGACTATACTAATTTCTAGTAGTTGTATCGTTTTTAGTCGCTAGAGCACTAGAGGGCATCAGAGTTTTATCGTTTTAGTATTCTTTCATACTGGACATTTACGAGTATTTAAAAAAAATTGCTACGATTGCATGAACATTGTGGATTCTAGAGCTTTTCGTCCAAAAATATGCGCAGAGTTCAACTACGTGAATTGCGTGATTAGGCATAAAATGACTTGCCATAATTTGGGGCTTAAGAATATCGAAGTTTCCATAATTCCTGCTTAAAGTACAGATGTTTACGAGTATTAAAAATGTTACGATTGCATGAAAATTGTGAATTGTAGAGATTTTTGTCCAAAAATCTGCGCAGAACTGAAATACGTGAATTGCGTGAAAAGGCATAAAATGACTTGTCATAATTTAGGGCTTAAGAATATCGAAATTTCCGCAATTCCTGCTTAAAGTACAGATGTTCTCTAATAATTTAAAAAAAAGAGCAGCAGTGAAAACGGAGTGGGAACAGTGCATACTTATGCACTTTGGATTCTGTTTGGTCCGACCATAACCAAATAATAGCTACTCACCGCTTTTTTTCTTAATAAACGTAATTTGCTCAGAGTGGTGAAAAATTATGTTACTTACATATTGCTTCTTGTGTTTTTTGAAAAATTGTAACAGTTTAAATTTATTACAGCAAAAATCAATGTTGCGAGAAATACCAAACTTTAATGAAAAATTAATTTCAGTCAAAAGCAGAAGAATGGACTTTCACTATAAAAAATAATGTAATGTTCCCTATATTTCAATAGTACTTAAAAGAAAACCCAATTATATTTGATTTTTTTTTCAATATTTTGTACCTAAATTTTTCCGCCCTCCCTGGTATGGAAATCAAGAGCCGCCACTGAGTATATAGTTGTTCCATTTCGGGGCACTTTCTTTAAAGAATTATAAAAAATGTATAAAACTGCTGAAAGGTATAAAATTGCTGCAGAATTTGACATCACTCTCTCAATGTGCTTGCTTGCGTACATACACCTACGCCACTGTCTTGTATATTTTGTAGATACACATTTGGTTCTTGGAATGTAGTTCAACATCAAGGGGATTTTTGTCCAAACTGTTACACAATCTAATTATGAATAAATTATACATATTTTCGGACAACCCACTTTACTAGGAAACACTTTTGATACGTGGAAAATGATAAGCTAAAAATCCTATTTGTAGCACTTTATTTATACATCTTTAGGTACAATATATAAATTATTTTTAAAGAGTAATCTTACCCGGACAACATTATTTGTAATAAATCACATCGATTTTGATATGTATCCTTAATTATATCTTAATTTGACAAGTACTTCTGGAATGTAAAATTTATGTATATAAATATGGTACAAAAGTGAGATATTAAATAGAAAGTACGTCAAATTCGTTTATAAAAAAATATAAATAAGAATAGCAACTGTGACAGCGTTCAGTTTTGAATTTCAAAACGTCTAATATCGATCCAACCTCAATTTAACATAAACTGCATCTTAAGTCAAGGTCAACGTAGTTTATAACGACGTGAATAGAAAATAGTCAGTACTAACCTTTAGGCGTATACTTAATAGTAAAGATTAAGAGATAAAACGAAAATTTACAAAAAAAAATATATATATCTGTACTAAAAGGTAAGGAAGCATTTACAAAAATATGTATTGCTTATTTTTAAAATATACAAAATACTATTAAGGTGTCCCATTGGACATTCTCTAACGATAGTGGATTTAAATATATTTAAATAAAAATAAAGTAAATAGGTAGGCGACTTAAAACTAATTTGGTGACCAGAAAATACTAATTTTATATGTCATGATACGGGGAATTTTTAAAGTCAAAGATTTTTGAATTCTCAGAAAGTATTCTGACGGCCTACCAACTCGTTTTACCTAAATTTACAAAAAAGTAGCTTCAGCAACAAAATAAATGACTTATCCCGTTTTTATAGCTTTAATTTCTTCTGCATATTTGTATGACTTTGGTTAAATACATTTTGGGATTTTACCAAGCAAATCAGTTAAGTCAATATGTTTTAATATCGGTAAACACACGGAATACTAACTAATATTCAGTTTGCTTAATCTCTTTCACATTGAGCTGAGTTTTCGGTTTAGAAATAAATATGGTACTAAAAATAAATAAATATTACTTCTCAACACTCCTCAACCTGTTTGAATCAGAACCTGGAACTTTGAATTGGGTACAAGAGAAATATTTTTTTCATTTTAGAACTAACCGTTTATGGCTTAGTGTATAATTTTGCAATTGGTCGACATTGACAATTCTTGTACGAGTTTTGAACTGAATTTTTAAAATAGTTTAGTAGACCAGGGCGGATCTGTCGAAATATCCCACTTGGATGTAAGAGGGGGCAAGCTAATTTTTGCTGGAAGTTCAGTTCAATTCACATAATAAAAGTGTAGGTCTGGGCGAGGTCCGGAACATTTTCAAAATTGCAAAAATGTTTAAAAAATTGAAAAAATACCTATTTTATCTGACTTTAAAGTACTTTAAAATTATAATTTTTGAAAAAAACTAAATTGCAAATTGATAAATGTAATCTAATTGTTTAAAAATTAAAAAAAAAAATTAAAAATTTACTGTGGCCGTCCTAATCAACCAATTTCAAATTTTCAAAAACCATTTGAAAGGTTGAGCGGTTTTTTCTATGTGAAAAAATTTTCAAGTATCTAGATGCTTTATTTGAGGCTGCGCAAAATTTTGAAAATTCGAAAATATTTTTTCAAAATTTTTTTCAAAAAATTATTTCGCGAAAACTATAGACCCGATTTTAATGAAATTTGGTGTGTTGTTTTATTATACTATAAGTTTTTTTTACCAAAATTAGAATGCCCTCGGAGCAATTAAAACATTTTAAAAATAATATACAAAAAACTTAATTTTTTGCCTTTTTTTTCGTCAATTGTTCCTGTTTTGCAACATCGGTAATAAATTTAAACATTTTTAGCTGACAGTATGTTGTGCAAAATTCAATTCTAAAACTTATTTTCCTCTACAATATTCTTCTAAAATGCATAGGTTCCAAGATATAAGTAAAAAACTCAGATAAAATAGGTATTTTTTTAAATTTTTGCAATTTTGCAAATGTTACGGACCTCGCCCAGATCTAGGGATCTACACTTTTATTATGTGAGTTATACTGAAGGTATTCGGAATTGCATGCGCCAATCTTTACTTGGTGATACAACTGTTTCTTACAATGTTTGACGTAGATTGATGAAACTTGGGGTAATAATCTATCATTCGCAAAATTGTGCCGAGTTGATATACAGGCTGATTCAAATTTCAGTACAAAGAATTTAGGGGCGTATTTTTAAGATCAAAATAAGACTTTTTTTTCTATAAAAATCCACAAGGTTCAATAAATTTGGGTATTTTTATATTTTGTTCATTCTTCCTGTGTCGTTCCTAAGAGTCTTAGATTTCACCAAGTTGATAGAAAACCTCTAAGAATAGTTGTCAAACTAGTCGTAGCCTACTATGTTTTTTCTGTATGTATTTTGATAATGACAATACTACCATTTAGTCAGCACTGTTTTTCTCGAAAACGGTTAGTTGTATCAAAAAAAATGTAAAGAGTTAAATTTCAAGATCATTGCTTGTTGGTGAAAATTTAAAATTTTTCACCATAAATAGTTAATAATATTTGAAAATATGATGTGCATTTAACTCGAGAGAGATTGCGACCAAGTATACCTACCTTTATTGCTTGAAATTAATAGGAGAATAAACGCACTAATGCGAATGTACAGGGTAGGAAAAAAGTTAGGGCCAATTTAATTCAAACGTATAGAATCTCAAAGCCACTCAATGTATTGGAAATTGAAGAGAAGCATTTAATTCAGGTTGCTGTTTCTAAGAAAATTTATGTCTTTGATTTTATTTGGATAACGATCAATTTTTGATTAATTAATTTTTTTAATTTAGATACCTAAGCCTTTATTATAATCAAATAAATCAAAAATAACTTTACACAAAATAAAAAATGTTAGAAACATAGTTTTTAATACAATATAACTATTAGAAGGTAGAAAAATCATTAGCTTAGCAAGTTTAATTATCTCTCAGAAAATGTAAAATTTCTAGCAACAACTTTTGTCCATTATCCTAAGTTTTATCAATTTGTATCAAACATTTAACTTTTTCTGTAATTTCAACATTCTGTAAGAGTTTTACTACCCTTTTATTCTTTTCTTATTTTGAGATGTTCTATCACAAGTAAATATGACGTTTACAATTTGATACAACCTGCATTGCATTTTTTTCAGATAATTTTTTCAGAGGTACAAGATCAATATCCCAAAAATGTTAGATTCTACTGTAATTGCATTCATTTTGTTATCTTTAATAACAATTATTGCTTAGTTGCTAACTAATAATTAATTCAATCTTTGTCTACTATGGTACACTTATGGCATGCTCTGTTCATCAATATATGTACTATTAGCCATGTTTATCATAATATCCAGGTAGATAACCATAGATCACCGAAAATACAGGTGTTTCTAAAATGCATGCACCTTTTTAAAGTATTCTTTCTTTCAAATGACTTATCAACGTCAGCAATAATCGCTAAGACATAAAAGTTATGGTAAAATTTATTGTTCCATTGTAGGTAAACTACAATCGAACGGCGTTCAATGAAATTTTCCTCTAATTAGCACAACCGATCTTAATCTAAGTACAGTCCGTACGATATTTGTTGAGATGATCCTCTTGGAACTAACATCGTTCGACACCCAAGAAAGAAAGACATTGGCGGAAAATTTCAAGGCACGCCCCTGCTGCTGTAAATTGTTACAGTAGTTCCAATAACAGAACTTTGTTGGCTTATCTCAACAAATATTGTGGGGACTGTAGTGCATGTGCCAAATATGAAGCTGATAGCAATTAAATTAAATGAATTAGTTAAAATCGCTCCTTTAGTTGAATGATGCATTTTAGAAACAATGTTAGTATACAGTGTGTTTCGTAAAAATAAAAACAGGGTTGGTCGGAACGTCTTTTTCTTTCATATAGAAAAATTTATTAGCGTGAAATATTAATGAATAAATGATATTTGTACTTCCCTAGGTTCTTAAAAAAAAAAACAAGGAAATTACGGTTGAATCTAACTTTTTGGAGTCCTTTTGACCTTTGCAAAAGTTTTTATCAAACAAACCTGTCCTTAAGGGTAAACCACCGTCAACGTTCCAAGAATTCCCGTTTCTTTAAGCCCAGCTCAACGAGGCAAAGCCCGGATTTCACAAAATCTCATCATCTGGAGTGTTATCTACAAAATAAATACACCTAAAACCGATATCAGTACGGCCTCCACACGCTGGAGGGGTCATTCTGCTGGGACTGCGCCCTCTCCGGCTCCTCGATCCTCAGGGGGTCGTGCGGGTGCGGCACCTCGCTGGTGGCGGTCTGCACCGCCTCCACCCTCTGCGGCGACGTCAGGCTGACGCTGTTCTGGAGGTACTGGTCGCTCTTCTCGCCGGCGTTCGCGTGCAGGTGGAAGTGGATCTGGTTCTGGTTCACCGTGGAGTAGACCTGGGGGTATATGATGGCCGGGTGGTTCAAGTACTGCTGCTGGTTGTAGGGGGGGTTGTAGTAGTTGTTGTTGGGGTAGGCGTTGGTGCCCCAGTTGTTGGGGCAGTAGTTGTTGTCGGGGTAGCGGGGGGCTATCATCGACTCCAGATCGGCCTTGGCGCTGTTGAACATGGGCGCGGGGGGCGGCGACGTGAGGGAGCTGGAGATGAACTCGCTGGAGCCGGCGTCTGGAAGAACTGGAAGAAGTGAGAGGTGGTGTGTGGTTCGTGGCTCAACTCGGAAACTTAAAAACATCGGGACTTTTTTGTGGAAAAAATTAGCTTAATTGTCAGTCCCGTCCCGATATCTTTTTTAGTTTCCGAGATAAGACACGACAGTTTTAGATAGAATACGTAAAGCTACTGTCCGTACGATATTTTTTGAGACAGAATTTCAAGAAAACTCCAGCGTCATTTTCTTGGAATTAACCTCATTCGACACCTGAGTAGGCCAATCAATGACCCATTAAATCAGTGATTTTGTGACAAAACGAGCAATCTGAAATCTGAATGCTATAAAGAGACAATTTAGTCCGGTCAAATTAGACCAAAAAATAAGAGTGAAGGTACATACATTTATAACAAGCTGAAAGTGTGTAAAATTGTTTAAAACATAATTAAAAATAACATTAAAATTCCTCATCGTTCCGGTACTCGGAAAAAAATTTATTCGAGGTCAAAAGTAAAAAAAATGGTTTTTTCGCGATTTTGAACTAAACGGTAAGTTTTATCATAAAGTTACCTCAGACAAAAATTGTAGATCATAATCAATAAAAAATGTATCAATACTTTTTTCCTAAGAGCCACCGTTTCTGAGATATAACGATTCAAAAAGTTGTAAAAGTTGTAGTCGTCATAATATGCATAAGTACGCCACGTATATACATCTCTGAAGCTGTAATATAAGTAATAGTACATTATACTATAAGGGAGAGAAATGCGTTATTTTGGCAGAGGTGCAATTTGAAGCCCGAGGGCTACAATGCACCGAGGACAAAATAGCATCTCTCCCGAATGGTATATACTATTTTTTCCACGGTCTCATTAACTTAAAAACACATATTTTGTCATTATGAAGTAAGTAGCACCAGAATTATTGTATTCGGATTTGAGCATTTATTTAGTAGTCGTTGAGTTATTGTCATAACTACAAAATAAACAAACAAAAAGAATTGTCAAATTAAGGTGCTAGTTTGGTTTAGTTTAAAGTTTGTTTAGTGCACAATGAATAATTGTGAGTCGGAAGAGATTGTGGAGGCTGCAAATATTGCAATAAGCAATTTGCTGCCTACGAAGTCAAGATCTTTATACGATATAGCCTACAATCGGTTCAAAAAGTGGTGCGCCGAGAAAAATGTTCAAGTATACAGCGAGAATGTTTTGTTGGCATACTTCAGTGAAAATGCAAAGAATTACAAGTCTTCCACATTATGGGCGCAATATTCTATGGTTAAGTCATGCTTGATAATTTACGACAACATAGATATAAGCAAATTCCCCAAGCTGATCGCATTTTTGAAAAGAACCGGTGACGGATATCAAGCGAAAAAATCGAAAATATTGACAAAGGGTGAAATCGACCGTTTTCTATCAAGTGCAGATGACAAAGAATTCTTAATGATTAAGGTAAGATTACTTTTGTTGTTAGGTATTTCAATTATTAAGTATTTTGATTTTTTATAGGTTGGATTAATTCTGGGGATTGCCGGAGCTTGTCGAACTGATGAACTAGTCAATTTAACTGTAGATGATATTGAGGATGTAGGCTCTTCCTTGATTGTAAAAATTCCAAACACTAAGACAAAGATTCCACGAACCTTTGTGGTTACCGATGTGGGAAATATGCTTGAATTGTTTCGAAAATACCTGTCCCTTCGTCCTCCCCACGTCAAGCATAAGCGCCTTTTTTTGTACTACAAAGCAGGAAAATGTAGTTCGCAGCCAGTTGGCAAGAATACCATGGGAAAAATTCCGAGTGTAGTAGCTTCGTATTTAAAATTACCTGATGCTGCATGTTATACTGGTCACTGCTTACGAAGATCTTCAGCGACATTACTGGCAGATGCTGGTGTGGATATCACGACAATAAAGCGTCATGCTGGTTGGAAATCAACGACAGTCGCTGAGGGTTATGTCGAGAACTCCATTGAAAATAAGACCAAAATTGCTAATCAGGTTTTAGTAGGTACCACTACTAGCGCAATCACAAAAACTGTAAATGTAAGCGAAAGTAATATTCCTTCTAATATTAATTTTGAAAATTGTACAAATGTAACATTTAATTTAAATGTCAATAAATAATTTCAATGTTATTTTTTTTTTGCATGAAAAACGTTCTCCATAATGTAAACTCCCTTGGGAGCATTATACTCCCTTAGGAATAATCGACTACATCTGTTTTAATTTTGATGTCATAGAAACTGATTTCTACTCCCGACCGTGGAAAAAAATATTTTTCCATCGATGATTGTAACTTACACTTAAAATATAAAATATACATAAGTATAACTATGAGATTATCAGGTAAAATGAAACCCAACCAAGTGTGGCTTGGTTATCAGCTAGACTCAAAAGACTGGAGTTGGAAGTTGGTCGACAATACATTAGAACCAATTCAGACTTTACTCCCACCTGCGCCGGAAAAACTGCTAAACACAATTTTTTGCAACTGTAAAAAAGGGATGCAGTGCTAAATGTTGTTGCAAAAAAGTTGGACTGTTTTGTTCTCTGGCATGCACAAATTGTCAAGGCCGGTCGTGTTCTAATGTTGAATCACCAACAGTAGAGGATTCGTTTGATACCAACGAGGAGACATGCGATACATCACTATTGACGCAATTTACTTACACCCAGAATGAAGAAGAAGAATAAGAAGAAGAAGAAGATCAGGAAGAAGAGCAAGAAGAAGTATTTGAAGGTTATGAATCAGACGAATAAATTCCTCTACTTTTTTTTAATTTCCATCGCTTTTATCATTTCCAACCCTTACTAATATCTGTTATTATGCAATAGTTTCAAACTAAACAGAATCACAACAGACCTGTGGAATAGGCCTACTGGGGAAACCACATTAAAAAAAAACGCTAAGTACACTACCTCATAGGAGGCGTGGAAACGTGTGCATATTATGACAATTACAACTTTTACAACTTTTTGAATCGTTATATCTCAGAAACGGTGGCTCTTAGGAAAAAAGTATTGATACATTTTACGATCTACAATTTTTGTCTAAGGTAATTGAGATAAAACTTACCGTTTAGCTGAAAATCGCGAAAAACCCATTTTTTTTACCTTTGACCTCGAGTAAATTTTTTTTAAATTTTAAATATGTTATTTTTAATTATGTTTTGAACAACTTTACTCACTTTCAGCTTGTTGTAAATTTATGTATCTTTGAATGTCTAGATTGACCGGACTAATTTGTAGAGAATCGAAATACGAATAAAACGAGAGATCGATCGATCCAATCGGATAATTAGAAACGAAGAGAACCCGGAAATATCGAAAAAAATGACCTTGTCACCAAACTTATCAGAAAAATGTGTCAGCTGTCAATATCGCAATGTTGCCTATCATATTTGTAAACCTGCAAGGATAGTTTTTTATTTATTATGCAATGTGTATTATAACACTAATTTACAATCTTTCTAGGGAAATACCAAATGGAGACAACATTTCAAAGAAAGACTTCGGGAATTACCCCCAAGGTTAATTTTACTTAACGCGTTTTATTTTTTTAGCATATTACGTTTTCTGATTATGCTTTCCATATCAGTTTAGCATACCCTGACATTGCCGGACACTTCACGAGCATACTAACAAACGAAAATAACAAACGCTACGCAGATCTCTTTCTTGGCATACTTTTCTTTTTGGGCGCAATATTGTAGAGGAATGGGAATCGATGACGTGAAATAAAACTGTTGAAAATAATTAAAACACTACAGGAGTGTCATATTTCTATTAATAATTCTTTGTTACGGTTTCCATTAAATCGATGAATTCTATGAATATCGTAACCTGTCACGATTCTGTTCTTAAAAGTAATTATTGCATAATTAAAAACAATAAACTATGTAAGACTAAATTAATATGATGCATTCAATATCTAGATTGATTAGTTTCAGTGGTGTAAAGGCCTGTAGAAGCTACTGGCTACACTCTAGTAAATGATCTTTTGATTTATGATGTCCAGATGTCTTCCTTATTTTGGTACCCAAAAATCTAGACTAGGTGGCTCGTTTAAAGGAAGAAATCTACCATTACCACCTTAAGTGGTATTTATTGACATTTGAGTCACAGTTACACAACGTCGGTCGAGCAAATTTCAGAACAGTTTGGACAATTAGGTCGACAACCAAAGGAACTCTTTAGCGGTTATTGAAACTGGACACCCACGAGTGATATGATCCCTCATAAACAAAGTCAACGTAGTATTCAGGACAGAATTCTAATCTGCATCATAACACCATGGATTTATTGGAATCGTGCGGTATTTCAGGTTTTTCTGTAACGCAGTAGCTGCTGATTTAATTGCAGCCGATGATTGGCAATATATGACGCGTTTATCAGCGAGTATTTTTACAGAAGATGTGTAAGCAAGACTACGAGGAATAAGCAATACGCGCAATCGTAAATTACTTCTTTCGATCTTGCCTGATGATCAAACGAAGTCAAAGAATGTTCTTTGATACCAGAAATCTGGCGGAACAATCCTAAGTAAAAATATGACATATGAAGATAAATTCCAGAACCATACAAAAAGTTTGAGAAAATGCACGAATGAAACTTCTCAAAACGTGGATCTACATTAATAGGCTACTGATTATAGGATTTTAAAAAGAACTATAACTTTCAAGCTATTTTATTACAAGAATCGTTCAAATATCGACCATATACCACTCAATTTTCATCCAAAGTACTTTACAATCTCTTATTTTGAAGGAAATTCTATTTACTTTTTTTTTCTATGAAGCAATGCCTATACCCATCTTTACTAAAAAAAAAACTAAAGGAAAAAAAGTAAAAAAAATCAAAAAATCGAATTTTTTGCTTTTTTTTCAAATTGTTTATTAACGATTTTTTACATAAAATTATCCTTTAAAATTTTTTAAATATGCCTTTTCGATGAGAAATTCAATTCTCTAAATAATTTTTCCTATGAACTATAGTGAAATTTTGCCTCGTTTTCGAGCTACAATTACAAAACTGAAAGGGGTGCATTTTTACCCCTATCTCCAATTTCCACCCGCTAATTTAATAGCACTCCGCGATTTTTTCATCTAAAATGACCCCTTGAACGATTCATGCAATAAAATTGCTTGAACGTCATAGTTCCTTTAACCTTGTTTTTTTTTTATATATATAATTAATAGCCTATAAGAAAGAATCAAGGATAAAATAAACTACTTCGTTCTTCTCTGCCTGGAATCAAAAACGAAAATTGAAACTGAAAATTGTTTAGAAATTTAGCATTCAGAAATTTGATTTTGCACAAACTAGGAAAGAATTGAGCGCCATGGCATGTGCGTAGGCAGAATATTTTAATATAAATTACATTAAATAGACTATAATATACAAGGTACACTGTTAAAAAAAATTAAACTTAGTATCAGTCATATCTCGGTATTTTCCAATGAAATTGGTCAATTGACTGAAAAAAATCAATTTTTGCATTTTTTTTTGCAACATATTTTGCTGTAAAAAAATGCGAAGTTTAATTTTATTAACTTGAAGACTCTGCATCTTGTAGACGAAACGTCTATTAACAAAGATTGCCATGAAACCAGTGCATATTTATTAAATTCTGTACTGTTTAAAAAGACATAATTTTGGTATATATCTTTGAAATTTAACTGTATACATTTGTTTGAAATTACAAGACAATTTCCCAAAACCGTGGTCTTTACCAATTATTTTTCCTACAAAAACAAAAAAGATAAGTGGAATATACATATTTTAAAAGTATATTCGTATGTGAACACCCCTGCACACAAGATTCGAAGTTTGTAACATATTCCAACAAAAAACATCTCATGGATGGTATCAATCAAAAAAGGGCCCAAGAAGCGAACCCCGGTGTATCCCAACAACTCGTCTGACATTTCCGATAAGGTTGCTGGTACCCAGATAAAAATATGAGATATGTTATAATAAGAAAGATTGTGTATGCATTAAAATTGTACAAAAACCTTGCTAGAAACGTCTATTAAAGGTGACTCTGTTTTACTTCCAAAAAATATATAACACTGTCCAAAAAATAAGGTGAATTTGTTTAAAAAATAAGAAATCCTTATTTATCTTCCACATCAATTTCGTCGCCTTCAAAGTAATCCCTACAAGATACTCTGCATAGATATCAAGGACAGTACTATCAACCTACAAAAAAATTATTGTATGCTTTCCTAATACCCGCGAATATATAGGTAATTCACTTTATTTTTTGGACACAGTAGTATTTCTTAGATAGACGACACCAGAGATGTAATGCATAACAGATTTCGATAAAAAAAAACATCATTTATGAACGTTATCCCTAAAGAGGGCCCAAGAACCTGACCCTGGTGTACCCCAGTGACACACTTAGCGCGCCAGCCGAATAATGCAGCGTCCGACACCTTTGACAAGCGTTAACAGGGGCCCCAAACTCACCTGTGGGCAGAGGTATGGAAGCGGCGTGCGCTGAATCCTGATGGGGCTCGTAATAGTTGGGCTGCGGACTATACGGGGTGTATGGATTCGCGTAGTCCGGCCACGAACTCGACGGGCAATGCGCTGAGGACCCGTTCGGGTTGCCATCTGAAAATGTAAACAAGATGTTAATGAACCTATTATAATTGTTATGAAGGTGATAGATGTGGGACGGCGCGGAAAACATCGGCAGAGGTATGCGGTTAGTTCAAGGTGGCGGAAAAGGGGTGTAGATTTATGCTCTCAAGGACCTTCAGGCTAGGAGATACAGGATGACTCGTAAATTAGGAAAAGATGATGAAAAAGTGGTCTCATAATACATTTTTAGCTGGGTAGAGCAAAAGTGATACTATATAATAAATGCAGTATTCAGTTTACATAAACATTTTGCGAATACTGAATATCCTGTACAAATACTTAATATTATGACGAATACCACTTAATAATTATAGTGAAAATTGAATAATTCGCATTAGTGTCGAATGAATACGAATAAAATACCACTGAATATTCGCATTTATGAATACAATGTATTCGCAAACATTATTCTGTGAAACTGTGAATAAAAGTGGAATTAATTCAATTTTCAAATATTTTTTGAATTGTTGATTGCAAAAAATTTGTTACAAGATACTTCGAGTTACATATACGTCCTTTTTCAAGCCTTGGATGACTTTTATCAGTGGAAATTGTACGTGCAAGGTATATAAAACGTAAGTCATACAGCTGTGGGTCTGTGATTATTAAAGTACCAATTAGTTATCTTAGATGAACGGATCTCTGTATACGTTGTAATATTATTCAGTAAATTTGTAGAACTTGTATTGAATATTCATAATAATCAATGAAAAACATGAAAATTTTGCGAATACTGAGTATTCTGTACGAATACTGAATATTCTGTACAAATACTGAATATTATGCAAATTGAATATTTCGTTTAGTGTCGAATGAATACGAATAAAACACCACTCAATATTCGCATTCATGTATTCACACAATGTATTCGCAATGTATTCTATGAAACTGTGAATACAAGTGGAATTAATTCAATTTTCAAATAATTTTTGAATTGTTGATTGCAAAAAATTTGTTACAAGATAATTTGAGTTACACATACGTCATTTTTCAAGCCTAGGAGGACTTTTATTTAAAAGTAAGTCATACAGCTGTGGGTCTGTGATTATTAAAGTACCAATTAGTTAGATTAGATGAACGCATTTCTGTGTACGTAAGTAATATTATTCAGTAGATTTGTAGAACTTATATTGAATATTCATAATAATCAATGAATAATGATTACTGAATACTAATATAATTGCGAATATTTAAATAGTTATTTAAAATAAAAATGTAAAAAGTTATTTTGTACAATAGTTGCAGTTTTTAGTGACAAATTTTTTCAACCATTAGTGACTAAGTTCTTTTAATCGTTAGAGGAATAAAATATTTATATTTTAAATAAAGAAAACAGTATTAAACAATTAACTTTCACGGAAACGTTTCAACTTTTTAAGCAAGCTTAAGGACATGGTGCCCTGAGTCTACGCAATGTTGCGAACTAATTGTTAATAGAGTAAAATGTTGAAAATTTTTTAAAAAATTCAAAATGGTTATAAAAGAGTAAAAATATGTATTTTTAGTATTAATCATTGTTTATTATGACAACAAGTATCTCTAAAAAATTGTGTGTCCTTTCTAAACCTTAATTTAAACCCACGGTACGCGATAAGATCTTTGAAATTTTCTTAATTAACAATCCTTTCAATCGAAAACCACGCCATCGATCGTTGCAAAATATTTAGGGTAGAATTGACATGTTTTTCACAAAGTTTCGTCAATATTTNTTTTTTAAATTAACAATCCTGTCAATCGAAAACCACGCGATCGATCGTTGCAAAATTTTTAGGGTAGAATTGACATATGTTTTACTTTTTGTTCACAATTTTTCATCAATATTTGTAAATAGTTACTTATTTTAAAAATTGCTCCAAATATACATATGATTTTCTACTATTTTTCGCCCATTGTTAATGCAAAATTCAACTTTTTTGATTCGCAGTTGTTGTAACTAGAAAATCGTCAAATAAAAAAAAAATAAAGAATGACTTTTTTTTTGTTTAGGGCTTACTTTCAATGTTACAGGGAAAAATATGTTGAAAATAGTTGGTTTTTTGTTCTTTTTGTATGTTTGTTGTTCCCCTGAATTTAGCAATGGTTTTTTGGAATAGGCAAACTCGGATTCTTATTCTACATAATATTTAGGATTTTTTGTACAACAAAATAGATTACTTCAAACACAAACGCCAAAGCCTACTTTTACTGCTGTATCGCCTGGACTAATAGTAATGTACATGAGTTTAAAAATATGGTGTGTACTTTGAAAAAAGCTGACAATTTTGAGGAAAATTGATTCAATTCAAAACAAAACTGCGATATTCGATCAAATTTTGCGCAAAAGGTTAAGGCTAAAAGAGGAACCTCCAACAATGCTGTCAGCGATATACTGTCTACTTATGAGTTACCTAGAATTCTTATTGAATTGTGTTAATTGCAAAGATGTAAAAATTGTTAAATTCGAATAGTACTGCTATTCTTCCTTTTAATAATAAAAACTTTTATTGCACGGGCTGTTAAAAAACCAATAATTTACAATGGAAACTATGTAAAAAACTTTCACTTTTGACACGATGGTATATAAATACTACTTTACTCGTGATACTAGCTTAGATTGGAAAATATTTTTTATCAACGTCTATATTCACCTTTTGCATTCATGAATACAATTTATTCGAATTCTGCTCTACTCAAGAGTTTGAATATCTTAAGAGAAAAGCGTTTTACAGTTTTGATGAGTTCCTTGCTGACCAGTTTTTAGATATTTAATGTATATTCGTAATATTCACTTTTTTATGCTGTTTACGTTATATTTATCTGAATGTGTTTTTTAGCTTTAGTGTAGTTTGACTTATGTAAACATTTTAATGTATAGACACCAATAAATGATTTGATTTGATTTGAATATGATTTATTATGATTGATTTATTTATGATTTTTATTTATTATTTTATGATTTATTATGTTTCCCAAATATACCACTGGAGATCTGACTATTTTTTATATTAACCATATTTTGAGTCATCGAAAAGTAATGAAATAAGTACGTAAATGCAGATGCAAGAAATATGCGTATTAAAGAAAATGACAGACAAGTTTTACCTGAATATCTCTGACGTTAAAATCTGTCTGTTACGAAACACTTGTTGTTTTCAAAGATTATTGCAAAATACTTTTTTTTTAGTTAAATGTTTCCTGAAACCTTACATCAATAAATTTACCAAGAAACCAGCATATTTCGAACAAAGAATATTAAGATGTGGAAGTAACTTTTTATCAGGAGTTCACTTCCGTTACCGTTCTCAATTTATAATAATTGTTATAAATATAAATATGATAAAATGGGAAGTCGACATTATATAAACAAAAAAAGGAAATGCCACAAATGAGTCGATCTTAGCGTGATCCGCCGAACCTCACGATAAGAAGAAACCACGTAAAAATTGCATTCTTCAAAATGTATAAAAAAAATATACATTATCAATTACTTCTGAAAACTTAGTAAAAGTTATTGTTAAGAAAAATGTTCCAAAACTGTCAGCAGAAGGAGAGGCTTGAAACGGATCTCCAATACAGGGTGTTTAAGAAGCGTGTTACAAATATATAGGGAATAAGATAAAAAACGCATAAGGAAAAACTGTGTTATTTTTCGCTTCATGAAAAAAGTCATTGTGCTAAAAAAAATCTAGATAATTATTCCCCTCGCGGTTACTAATTGTCACACTTTTTTCAAAACGATTTGACCGCTCCATTTCAGTCACCGGAGGCTCAATATTATCTGACTGATTATTTGCTAATAATATCAAAATGAATTGATTACGAAATGTCAAAAAACCTTATCTTTGTTTCATGAACCATAAAGAAATGTGGGAGCAGATAAAATGCTATACACCACGCAGCAGTTAAGTGTAATTTACCAGTCTCGGACTCTATTGCCAGCCTTCGCTCCGCTCGGGCGCAAAATCTTCCTCGACTGGTAAATAATACTTACAAGGAGGTAAGTATGGTGTAAATAACTATTGTCCAATTGTTTTTCTGTGAGTCAAATGTCTTAATGCCAAACGAGTAAATTATAATAAAAAGATAATTGCGCATCACCCTGTACATTGGGGACGTGGATGATTCGGCGACAGCAATGCGAACAGGACAAAGAAACGGGGTTATAGGTAATTGTTTTCTTTGTGCTTTTTAAGCGTATCATAAAATATGAACTACTAAAATATTTCCTTGACAACTATTAGCATACAATATGTCATATAGTATGGACCTCTCTTGAATAATAAACAGTGGTAAATCCACCTTTATATTGTTGTGAGATGATGCGTAATGGTTTTCGAAATTATCCTCGCACATAAAACTGCGCGAGAGGACGGCGAAGTTCACGTATGCGGTCTGTTTTATTAGAAAATTTAAGGTCATCGCGACTATCGCTGACGGCTATCAAAATTTGTCGCGTTCGATAGAAGACGCAAATTGAAAAAGTATAACTACTTTTTTAATTTTCTGGTGAGTATGTAAAAAAGTACTAATTTTGGATTTTCTGAGAAATATCGAGGTCAGAGGTAAATTTCAACGCCTCAAAATATTACGAAAATGACATATTTGGATGAAATTTAGAAAAAAAATAAGTTTTGACCCATATTTCTACCAGTTTTCACTCAAATATTGGATTTTCTGAGAAACATCGAGGTCATGGGTAAATTTTAGTAATGGCATCGTATTCAACACCTTAAAATACTACGAAAATAACATATTTGGACAGAATTTAAGAAAAAAAATCACTTTTCCATGTTCCATATTTGGGCCTGTTGTCACCCAAATAGAATATTTTCTGAGGAATATCGAGATCTTGGGTAAATTTTACTAATCGTGTCAAGTTCAGCGCCTCAAAATACTAAGAATTTGAAATTTTTGAACAAAATTTAGGAAAAAATCAGTTTTGACCCATATTTGACCAGTTTTCATCCAAATAGTGAATTTTCTGAGAAATC